CTCCACTCCCAGAGGCTGTCACTCGGGCACCAGGCTCCGCGGCGAAGCGCCACTTGCAAGTCGGAGCGCTCCCGGCCGCTTCTGAGCGGGCTCCACGCTCCTCGCTATATAACCCACCACCGGGAAGAGCCAGCGGCGGCATCGGCCCACCCCGTCCTCCCCGCACCCCGCCCTCGGCCCAGCCCCCAGCCCGCCCGCCGTCCGCGGAACCGCGGCGGGACAGCCCCTCTCACATGGCCGTGGCCGCAGCCTCCAGCCCTCGTCGCACCTCCCTTCGCTGCTCACGCCCCCTGCCGTGGGGCGTCCCGACCGCCGCCTGCCAGGCCTGGCGGTCGACAGCGCCCTGGCCATCCTCCTACCGCTGTCCGATCCTCGCTTGTCCCTGTCTCGCCACTCTCGTTAAACGGGACTCCTGGACGGGCTCGCCTGCAATCAGGCGCTGCAGAAGACAGCCCTTCCAGCTGGAGGCACGAAAGGACCTCGGCAGCGCGGCCACCGGGGTGCCGGAGTCTTGTGTCTGTGGTTGGCAGAGAGCCGAAAAGGCGGTCAAAGTCGCGCCTCGGGAGTGGTTTAGAATCGCAGCTAGCCCTCTGCAACGTGGGTCAAAAGGCTCTCATTTTCCCTGGCTGGAATCATCACCGCGGTGGTTGCCTACAGTCCCGGGCAAGTGTTGCCCTCCCGCCGGGCGGGCAACAGAACTGACGCATGCCGGGATTTGTAGTTCGCACCCGTGCGGCGTGTCATTTGCGTACATTACTGAGTGGAATTCGGGCCGTACCGGTTAACGCTGCCTAAGAACTAGGACCCCGAGTAGTCAAGGTGTCAGCAGTCTTTGCTCTGGTCATACTGATTAAAGATCGAATCAGCGCATGCATTTTTCCCATATAAATTTTACAAGACACTTGATCCAGGCCGGATCGGGCAGTTGTTAATTTTGCATCTGCAAGACGAGTTCTCAGTTCTGAGTTCTTTTCTGGCTTATCCTGGGACACCTATGAATCGTGGGGCTTCACTCTCGCCGTCTTTAAGTGAACAGTGCGCATGCCCCAACTTCCTCTTTTTCTGGCTGGAACCATGGAGGCGGCAGAGTAAGTTGCTCCTTGTCCTGTCGAGAATCCTCTTCCATCCCCGAAAAAAGAACCGTTTTGTCTCACTGGACCCCTATCAGACTGTAGCCTGTACCTCTGCCCACTTATCTACATGTTTATGACTGTCTGCGACACTAGTGGGGGCCACAGTCTAACAAGGGATGCAGACGGCCTTGGGGCGGAGGTTTCGGAGTTAGAGGAAACGAGGCGCGGTGGGAGAGCTGAATATGTGCGGAACCGGCCGGTTGTTCAGTCTTTTTAGAGAGGCTCAGCTTCTGAACTGGGTTCGTTCGTGGTTGGCACTTGGTGCAGGCGTCCCTGCCTTCAGGCCTTTGCTTTCAGCATGTGGGAGCTTGAGGCCCGAACCAGAGTGGTTGGGAGTGGGGGTGGTTTATTAAGCCCTCGTTAAGAGCCTAGGCATCAGTGTTTTGAAGCAGTCTCTCAGTCTGTACGTTAACTTTGTTGTGGATACTTGTGTTGTCCCGGGAGTCCAGGGTCGGATGTGAATTTGTCGTCCTTGTGACTTGCTGTTTAAATCTTTGAAAGGTGATTGTTGGCATAGAAATTCCCTAAAATCTGCAACTTAACGCAATAGCATGGTAGAGCAGCTGAAAATACAACTGTTTAAAGCTAATGACAATAGTTTTATTAAGCGACAAAGTGCGCTCAGTGCAGAATGGGAACGTAGTCCTCCGAGCCTTTTGAACTATTAACGTTGTTTGTTAATGCCAGAGAGAAGAAGAAGGTTCCTGCTGTGCCGGAAACCCTTAAGAAAAAGCGAAGGAATTTCGCAGAGCTGAAGATAAAGCGCCTGAGAAAGAAGTTTGCCCAAAAGATGGTAAGTAACCTTTTTTGAGGCATTTACCATATAAGATGAGGCTTTGGGATTGAATACGAGGAGCATGTTCTTGGCAAGACTTGTTTACTTCACCTATTGTACCAGTGATCTCAGATAAAGGTCTACATCTGCCTTTTGGAGTGTTTATCCAGTGGCAAGAAAAAAGTTTCAGGGGAAGGTTATTTTTTCTTCAAAAGAGCTGGTATTGCTAATCGTGTTTGGGAGCTAAAAAATGAATAATTGGTCATTGTTTTTCAGCTTCGAAAGGCAAGAAGGAAGCTTATCTATGAAAAAGCTAAGCACTATCACAAAGAATATAGGCAGATGTACAGAACTGAGATTCGGATGGCTAGGATGGCAAGAAAAGCTGGTAACTTCTATGTTCCTGCGGAACCCAAATTGGCATTTGTCATCAGGATCAGAGGGTAAGTTCAGTTTTTACAGCGTTCTGGTTTTAAAGGGAAATCTGCATTCCTAACAAAACCGAACTTTAGTTCTGGGGACCTTGGTTCTGAACATTGCAATAAAAATATCTTGAGGGTAGCTTGAACAAGAGAGTTGTTTAGTGGTTTAGTGCTCAAAGCCTAGCCTGTCAGTTCTCTAATTGAGCACTGGAGTTCAGTGTTCTGGAGATGAACTTCAAAAGTAGTTGAAATGTAATCTCGTAAGGACTATAACAAAGATGTGTACAAAACTCAGAAGTGGCTGAAGGGTCAGGAGAAGTTTTAGATGTCGAAGGTACGTGTCCAGAGACAGTTTACTAGAGGATGTGGCGAGTTGGGAGAGATGATAGCCAAATCTATCTAACTAAAGGAAAAAACACTGACGGTCTTTGTATCGGGAGAGGATTCCTATCTCTTTAGGCAGGACTTGCCCAAAATATTTAGTTTCCTTCATTGATAAAATTTCTGATAAAAGGCAAGTTGATTTTTGGTCGTTTTTCACTGCAGCATCAACGGCGTGAGCCCCAAGGTCCGAAAGGTGCTGCAGCTTCTGCGCCTTCGCCAGATCTTTAACGGCACCTTTGTGAAGCTCAACAAGGCTTCCATTAATATGCTGAGGATCGTGGAGCCGTACATCGCCTGGGGGTAAGCCTGTCTTTCTCTTTGATTTCTGTTCAGTCATTGGCTGCGATAGCTGGATGAATTTTAGATGTTTTGACAGCAATAAGCTTATTCTTTGGACATTTACGTCTTTGTTTCATATTTTAGATACCCAAACCTGAAGTCAGTCAATGAATTGATCTACAAGCGTGGTTATGGCAAAATCAATAAAAAGCGAATTGCTCTGACGGATAACACATTGATTGCTCGTTCTCTGGGTAGGTTGCTTGTCTGGGGTTTAAGTGTACAGGAAATGTAAGATATGATTTCATTGGCTTGACCCTAATCTTTGTAAATAAAGCCACGTATTTTCCTCTTTTTCTTGTAACTATGTCATAGCCTATAATTGTGTGTGTTGAATGTCTTAAAATTTAGTAATTAAACAGTTGTAACCTAATTTTAAAATATTCAGGTAAATATGGCATCATTTGCATGGAGGATCTGATTCATGAGATCTACACTGTTGGAAAACGCTTCAAAGAAGCAAACAACTTCCTATGGCCCTTCAAGTTGTCCTCTCCACGAGGTGGGATGAAGAAGAAGACCACCCATTTCGTAGAGGGCGGAGACGCTGGCAACAGGGAAGACCAGATCAACAGGCTTATTAGACGGATGAACTAAGGTGAGCAGCTGCATCTTGAGAGAAGTTGACTTAATATTAGAGTAAAAGTAATCACGAGTACTGTCTCCATAATATAATGATAAGGGGTTGGTTGAGTTAAAATTGATGCCTAATTTTAGTGGAGAAGATCAGCCATCTTACGTGATTACAGTTGGTTTGGTTATTCCTTTTGAGAACATTTATGGAGGGAAGAAGAAATCCAGGTGTTTTTCTACTTAAAAATGGAAACTGAATTGGTGCTTTTTAATAACTTCTCGATTAATAGTTAATTCTTAGCTGTTAAGGTGGTTTCTTTAATGAGTTGTTTTTTTCCCCCCTTTCAGGTATCTACCATGGTTATTTTTCTAATCCGGTCCGCTATTAAAGAGTTACTGTTTCAAATTGAAATGTTTCGTTGTCTCGGTGATTTTTTTTGTTAGCCTGCCTCTGCCATCCCTTAACTATCATGGCAGATCTCAGTGTGATAAGATTAAGACAAATCAACAGCTGTTATTTTTCACTCTTGAATTGTGCCATTGAATTAGCCAAAATGGGTGTAATCTAAGAAAGCCTTTTTTTCACAGGCCTTAGTGCATGCTTTATAGATAAGGGAGAAAAGCTGTTTACAAATAAAAATAAATTCTGTTGCTGAAATTCGTTTTCTCAGGCTTTGGCTTGCCTATAAAGTACCATGTAAGCGTGTTATTTTTCTTTTGCATTTCATATTTATGTTTTTCTTGTTTTGTATCTTCTGTTTATATTTAGGTAGATTTTAACACTTCCATTACATATTGTATATATTACGAAGGAATGAAATTTGTGCTTGGTGACAAATTATCGTGGAGCATCTAGAGCTCTCCTAGTGAGCAGAGACTTTACATAGGAAGTTTGGGTATTTTATAAATGACATTCTCGTGTGTTTTATGTGTTATCACGTAGACCAGTGAACCGAAACTTGTAGAGTGTGACGTGAGGTATGTTCAATAACAGTAAACGTTTTCGTAGTCCTCACTGATTATGGCAAGGGTATGTTGCATAGAAAATAGATGCCCTGTTTAATTCTTTTGATGCTGTTGCACCAGAATCAGTACTTCCTAGTATTTGGAAGTTGCTAGGCAAATATATTTAAGAATTTCTTGAAACTCTTTGGTCTTCGAAGCTAATTGAGCTTAGTGAGGGTCATTGAATTCTGGAGAGAAATTAGTGTCCTTTAGTTTACAAAATTGGTGTTAAATGAGTATACCAGTGTTTTGCAGGAAATTTAGTGTCTTAGTAAAGAGTTGAGTCGGTGTACAAAAAATTGAACATTAATTTCTAGGTGGAGCCAAGAGTGTAGGTTTGGAAATGACCTCTCTTGTATTACTGCTTCAGTAGATAAATACGTAGGCCACCCCGGCCTTTGCTCATCCAGCATCCTGAAAGCTAGAAATGGCTCAGAAGAGAGAAAATCTCATTGTAATAAAGTGCAGATGGCATATTGCTCATTATGTAGGCATGGGGGTAGGGGAGACTTAATGTAGGAATGGGGATAGTAATAAATAGACGTGGTACCCTGTATGTGGGGTGGTGGTGTTCACAAAGCTTTTTTGAACAATTAACTTCTAAAACTGTTCCAAAACAGGTTCACAGCAAAATTGAGGGGAAGGTGCAGTAGTCCCCCTGTTATCCATGGGGGTTATGTTCCAAGACCCCCAGTGGATGCCAGAACTGTGGATAGTACCAAACCCTCTACGTACTCTTATACACACACACACACACACACACAC